CGTGTTTGGGTGGGTGGGTGTGCATGGGTGCGGGCACGTGTGTGTGCGTGTGGCGGGTGTGCAACTGGGGGTGTGAGCGTGCACGCTCGTGTGTGTGTGTGTGTGTGTGTGGGTGGGTGGGTGGGTGTGCAACTGGGTGTGTGAGTGTGCCGCTCGTGTGTTGTGTGTGTGTGTGTGTGTGTGTGTGTGTGTGTATTGGTATGTTCGCTATGCACTCCACAGAAAAAGCATGACTGTGCCAGACTGTGTCTTCAGACTTTCACCAACCCATCAGGAGGTTAAGCCCCGATAGTCTGCACATGATACATTTACTGATGGGTAAGTACTCACCACGTTGCTCAGAGTAAGCAATACCCCTGAGAAAAGTGGCCGATGAGTGTGTGTGTGTGTGTGTGTGTGTGTGTGTGTGTGTGTGTGTGTGTGTGTGTTGCCCAAGTCCATCAATCTTCAAGTTTGCTTTGACTGATCAGAGGCCCGCATGGCTACATCCAGACCAGTGCTCAGGCTGCCTGCTGCCTGTTGTCCAGGAACTGTACCTCTGCAGTCCTATCCCGAGCAATTGAAAGTGTGTAGTACTTTGAGCCAACAAGTTCGCAAATCTGCAAAACGGGTTTGCAAACATGCGGTAGGAATGCCGCGCCATGCTGCTGCATTTTCACCCCACTCGTATGAAATTTCAATTTTCCTGAACTGTGAATAATTTTTCAAGTTAGTCTAAGTTAGAGGTAAAGATTTTCCGAATTGGCGGGGTGCAATTTCCACAATCGTGAATGCACCGATCAACTTCGCAGAATCTGGAGTCTACTTCGTGCAAAGCTCTCAAACTTCGCAGTGCAGCCCAGTGATGTTAATGTGTCCGATGTACATCATGTTTCACTTGTTGCATAAATAGTACTACTGCATGGGTGGGCTTTTGCAAATGTGAAAATTCGTGTTACAGAGGAGGAAGTTCAAGCGCATAGTACCTTTTGTTTGACGTTTGGGATTGTAGTAGGCATCTAAATCTGGTGCTGAATACATACAGTATGTGTAAAACCACTCTTCCCCCACACTTCTCGCTCCCAATATCCGACCTCTCCCTTTCAGTTCCTCCTCCTAAACCTGCTCTAGATAAGAACCAGAATCCCTTAAACCACCAGTCAGTTTCGCAGCCATTTTTTTCAGAGTTGTGGCGTCACATGCAGGCGCGACTTTCGGGAAGTACTGGTGCGGCATTTCACTGGATATCCATCCAGGCAAATGGCCCTCATGCGAGGCCCGTTTTCCCTGGACGGATATCCAGCGAAATGCTGCCCCCGTACTTCCCGAGAGTCCCGGCTAACGTGCTGACGGTGTAAGCACTGGACGCTCCTTCTGGCTGGCCCTCCCCAAACCTCTTGCACCAATCTGGGAACCCAGATGATTGCTGCGCTTTCCACCTCCGACACTCTTGATCAGAAACGTACTCTATTCATGGGGTCGATTGGCAGTAAGATTTCGGTGCTGTTGATGGTGAGCAACACCTTTTTCAGTGCTCCTCTCCTCCTGCTTGAATGTGGCAGTTTCTTAGAGGCCTTCGGCCGCGGGATAGGTGTTTGACACTGAAGGCCCAATGGAGGAGCCGTCCTCAGTGCATAATCAGATTTTCCCTACTCTCGTCTTTCTCCAGGAAAAGGAACAGTTGTGTGTTAGGACTGCCATATATGTTTGAAACTTTGATTGCTTGCGTGCGTCAGATTTTCAATGTTTGCTCACAAAACATCATCAGTTTCTGTCAGCTACCTCTGAAATACAATACACAAGTACGGACATTTTTGTTGCGTCCAAAGCTTGTCTGGAATGTGCTGATCTGTTTGGTAGTTAGTCAGAGGCCGCGTTTGAGTGTGAGTAGCATTGATGATGTGTCGACTTGTGTCGCTTACATCACGTGGTCTAGGTCTTTATACTAACAAGGCAGGACACAATTCGGTTTATGTTACCTGATACTGTCCTTTCAGCTTTCCAGTCAGTTCACAATCATGAATACAATGAAGACAAGGGGGAGTACAATGTTGTCAGCTGATCCGCGGCAACGTCCTGATGGTTTCGATCAAGCCGCAGCCCATTGCATGGTCCTCATTGGCGGAAGCTAGTCTTGCGCCTCACAGCCTCTGCTGCCTGGAAGAGATGGCCAATACCCCAGCATCCGTGACAATGAACTATGCAACACATGGGAGTGCTTTTGACTTTGCATTACTAGCCCTGCTGTTACTCCTCATTGTCCTTGTGACGGTATCTGGGGTGATTGGAATCTTCATTTGTTGTAAGCGTGGTATGTTTGACCTTCCTTCGCTGTGAGCAGCAGCCTCACCCTTCTCTCTTTTGTTTTCTATACCTTGTTTTGTTTTCTTGCTGCTTTGACATGTCCTCATTCCAACCCTTCTTCTTTAGAAATAACCTTATGTCCAGTGCTTGCATGTCGGTCCTTTCTCTGAGAGGCGCACCGCTGAGGCGTTCTCTCCTCTGTTTATATTCCTCTGCCATTGTTTTGCTCTCTTAGGGCTTATACATGTTCTTATCCCAACCCTTTCTCTTTTNGAGGCGTTCTCTCCTCTGTTTATATTCCTCTGCCATTGTTTTGCTCTCTTAGGGCTTATACATGTTCTTATCCCAACCCTTTCTCTTTTTGCATAACCTTATGTTCGTTACTTACATCGAGGGGAGCACCACCCCCAGTTCACCTGTGCTGATAGAGGACAACAAATTTGATGATATCCAGTCCCTGTTCGCTATTATCGGCAGGGATCCTGAATCCCGGGTTTACTGGTCCTATTCTTGTAGTCGTTTGAAGGCTGTTTCACACTTCATTCCCTTCTCCCTATGCTGAACCATCCAGGAAGCTCAGCCAATATCTGAGGTTGGGAACTTGTAAGATCCACCCTTACCCCCGGAAGATGATTCTTCTCTCTCTCTCTCGGAGAGGAATCATCTTCCGGGGGTAAGGGTGGATCTTACAAGTTCCCAACCTCAGATATTGGCTGAGCTTCCTGGATGGTTCACCTCTCTCTCTCTCTCTCTCTCTCTCTCTCTCTCTCTCTCTCTCTCTCTCTCTCTCTCTCTCTCTCTCTCTCTCTCTCTCTCTCTCTCAAATGGTTAACAGGTAGCCCCACTTTTCACCCCTAGGGTAACCTTCACCACCCTGAAAAATGCAGTGTAAGAAGTGCACTCTACAGATTGGTGTGAAGTATGGTTAAAACGACCCTTTGGTTCTCTCTCTCTCTCTCTCTCTCTCTCTCTCTCTCTCTCTCTCTCTCTCTCTCTCTCTC